AGGTACTTAGAGGCATTAATAAGGTCTCCTCTCAGCCTTCTCCTCTCCAGGCTGAACAGTCCCAGCTCCCTCAGCCTTTCCTCATCAGGGAGATGCTCCAACCCCCCAGTCACCTTTGTCACCCTCCCTTGGACTCTCTAGCAGTTCTTTGTCTCTCCTGAACTGGGGAGCCCAGAACTGGTCCCAGTTCTCCAGATGTGGCCTCACCAGGGCAGAGCAGAGGGGCAGGATGACCTCTCTCAACCTACTGGCCACACTCTTCCTCATGCACCCCAGGATTCCATTGACCTTCTTGGCCACAAGAACACATTCCTGGCTCATGGATCATTCACTATCTACCCGGACTCCCAAATCCTTCACCTCAGAACTGCTTTCCAGCATGTCCACCCTTCACCTATCCTGGTGCCTGGGATTCTTCTCTCCAGGTGCATGACCCTACACTTACCCTTATTGAACCTCATTTCAGGCAAAATAAGTGGGATAGGCTTCCATGTTTTAAGATCCTTGCTAATGCGGTTCATTTTGCAAACATATAAAACCAAGATAATTTTCATGTGAGTTTTGCAGTCCACATAAAGAACAAGTAAGTTTGGCACTGAGGTGAAAGAAAAATGTGAAATAATGGAAAAATGAAACAGTCAAGTTCTCTTTTTGTTAGGATTTTTAGGTTATTTACAGTGTCTTATTTATCTGCTTCCTTTTCAGGAAGTATTAGTTTTCCAGCTCTATAAACTTCATCTTAGAGAGATCTGACTTGAGCGTGTTGTGAAGGAAAGGTGGAAGGAAGTAATACAGAAATCAGAATCATACTGCTATCATCAGTATCTTCAGCTATTGTCTCCAATGGCTGCTTTGCTGGTCTGTTCTGTATTAAGATTTTCTGGATAATGACCAATCTAAATTGACAGTACCCAGAAAGGAGAAGGTAAATGGTCAAACAATTGTTTGATTTGGGTTTAGTAGCACAGAAATGAGAGTACATTGAACCCAGATTTGCTGTGATGCGTTAAGGTTCTGGAGTGAAATACACTGTTAGTAGAAAGCCAAAGCAGGAAAAGCTGGAATGCAATGCTGGAAATTTGAGAAGTGAGATTGTAGTTTCTTTGACTGTAACTGACAGGCTCAGTGGGAATACAAAACTTTTTCACCTTCAGGATATTAAGTATTAAAGTAATTTACTGCTGAAAATGGATCAGCGAGAATATGAATAATTATGATTTGGGTTTTTTACAATCTTGGACTTTCAGAAACTAGGATGAGAGCTAATATAAGGAATGTTTTATCCCAGATCTTCTATGTTATGTTTCTAACATTTTTAATTTAAAGTCTCTGAAAAGATCTTGGCTAGACTCCCTTAAGGTCTGGTCCAGTCTAGCAGGTTCCTGCTTGTCATAGTTTAATAGTGCTCTTTACTCTCTATCTTATGAGGATGGATTTCCCTTTCCCAGCTGCTCTTCTGTCAACTCTGTTACTCATCCTATATTCAGCACATTGAGTTTGTAACAGTTTGGAAAAAAAAACAAACAGAAAACCTCCCTCTAGAAGGAAATTTCTGAGAGTTGACACAAAATTCCACATATGAGGCTGGTTCCATTTTCACCAGGTGCCTTTTCCAAAGCAAACAGCTCGCTTTCCTGTTAATGGGGAGGTGTGAGGTTGTGGAGCTCTGGAGCTGTGTGAATCCCGTTGCTGTCCCAGAAGCAATGCTGTTTCCTCTCTTCTTTCCTTCCTCTTTACTTCCTGGGGCTTGATTTTCTATTAGAGGTCCATCCTTTTGGAACAGCTCTCAAGTGTATGTGCAGGTGGCAGAAGGGGAAAAGCAGTGGAGCCTGGAGCCATCACAAGCTCTGGTGGGATCAGAGATGGTTGATTTGAACTTGTGATAGGGTTTGGAATATAATACTTAGTACACTTTGTTTTCTAAAACAAAAAAGAACTTCTGTTCAGACCTTGGGAAAGTGTAATGAAACCCACATGTAATGTTGCTCTGACTAAAAATTAGTAAATTGTAGATTGACTTAGGGATTTTGAGCCATCTACTCAAGTCTTCCTCCAGAATATTAGATTTTCTTCTACCAGTGACCATTGCAGTTCTTTTCATCCCTTGTTGGCATAGTCCAGCATGAAAATTAGAGATCAAAAGCAAGTTGGAATTAGCAGAGACATGATTCAAGAGCATTTTTTTGACATTACTGACAGGATAAGGAATTGCAGCACAATTCTCCAGACCATTTGAATCTTGAAAAGGAAGTGGGTGCTTTTGTTTTCAGTAGCATATTTGAAAATATAATAAATAGAAATTATCCAGCCTGTACTCAAGAATATTTAGTAAGATCTAAGTATGTAGATTCTTCAGTATTGTTTGGCCTTCTCACACAAATTATCTGTCTGGCCTAAAGCACATGGGTTTTAACCCTTAAAGTGAAGTAGGGGAGAGCTCCACAGTGGTTTCTCTTGAGCTGTTTTGCATGGGCAAAGTGCTTTTAAATACAAGCTTTGTATCCACTGTTCTCATATTTTTGCCTCATATTGCTACTTTACTTTGAAAAGAGATGAGAGACTGCCATCTTGGAGTGGAGGCTCAGAGGCTGAGAATTACCTGTGGCTTATAGGGTAAGGGACAGCCACTTTCCTCCTCTTCAAGAAAGAAATCTTGTTCTCTAGCAGCAATCCTTCATCAGAGCAACAGAAATGCTGGACTAGCTCACAGTTACACGTCTTGCCTGATATCAAAGACATTTCAGCCACAAAATAAAATATAAAAGGCTGTTGCCTGGGCCAAATCCAGAGAATTTAGTGGATGGAGCTGATTTTTGTGGCCAGTTTGAGTGGCTCAACTTTATAGAGCACATGTTGGGTTGTGTGAAAGAGGAAACAGCCTCTTTGGTCAGTGTAAGTGTGCTCTGAACTGTCTGTCCTATGGGCACAGACCCAGGCAGTCAGCAGCTGATGTACCACTGTCCTGGGAAACTAGGGAGGTCTCCAAGAAGTCTGTTTTATGTTGGGATCATGGCAGATATGATGACTCTTGTTTTTTCAAAAATATACATTTCTGAAGACTTCAGCTGGTTGTTCTGGATAGCAGGAAGGAATTTGTTTAAATAGAAAACTTTTCTTAAGATAACAAGATGTCAAAGAATCTCCTGTTACCTACTGCAAGGCAGCAAACCATCTGATGACAGTGCAGAAGAGTGTGACAGCAGAGGAGGCTGGGCGGGGGGGGGCAGGGATAGCCAACAAAGCATTATTCCTGCAGGTGGGAGACCTTTGACTCATAGAGCACAATGTCTGTGTTACTGTCACCAGCTGCCAGATCTGTCTCTTCAAACCTTTTGAGCACAGGCGGGCAGATGAACTCCTTGATTCAACAGCTTCTTCAGCCATTCTCATTAGTGTTTTGTTAATAATTCTGACTCTGGCCTTTCTCTTCTTCTCCCCTCCCAGCTCTGGGGATTTCAAGGTTCAGCTTGCATAACAGGTAATAGCAGGCATTTCCTTCTCCTGTGCCGGGATATCCTGGCGCCCTTCAGTCTCTCTCTGGCTGTGTTTAAAACAGACTCCAGCACAGGGGAAAAAAAAATAATAAAAAATCCCAGTCTAAAATTAGCAGCCCTGATAGAAGAAAGGCACATGGCTGTCCACTGTGCTGTTTGTCAATGAAACAACACATCTAAATGGGGCCGGAATGCATTTCCTCTCTGGGAATAACAGACGTGTTTAGTTTTGGGAAGGATGAGAGGGAGCAAGAGCAAAGCAGGCATCACACTGGGGATCAGGGAGAACTGTCCAGGAGGTGTCCATGGGGTACATGAAGAGGCTGTAAGGAGCTCTTGTTAGGGCAAAGTTCTCTGTCTCTTCGTAGCTCTGACTGATGCTGGAGGGTCTCACTGCACCTGGAATCTGGATCAGATGCTTGGGAGAGTCACAGAACCTCTGCAGTCTCTTCCTCTTGTTTGGATTTCAGGTGTATTGTCCTTAATGCATGTTTATTGCTGTCAGGACCCTATTTAAGTGACCCAGGCTAGATTCTGATCTTGCAGAAGTGTAAAGCTGAGGTCTCAGTAGGTTTATACCATTCTAAATATTCTGAGTTTTTAAACTAGAAATTAAAATTTAACATAAAATTATGTTATTTTATTATAACCTGTAGTTTGCATTAGTAATAATGGCATATTTTTAATCTGATCTTGTAAGCAGCCACAATGTCGTACTTCATTGAGAAAGTTTCATAGAATCCTAGGGGCTGGAAGGGACCTCGAAAGATCATCTAGTCCAAAGTTTCACACATATGGATATTTTATAGGATGGGATTCTAGGTGTAATGAATATTGAGTGACTTATTTCATGTAGTAAAGAAAGGTATTATTGCAAAATGGTTGTGGTTTGTTGCTACTGCTGTCAGTATGGAATTGTGATAAAACCATTTCATTCTTTCCTCATTCATTTCTATATAGTCTGTGTCCACCAGAATTACTGTGGGAATTTTACTTATAGAAGTCAATGTCATGAACTGACTCTAGCTTTCTTTGCAAGATTGGAGATGTATCTGTCTGTCAAAATCCGGCTGATGGTCACTGAGTAAAATTCAGTTAGCTAAAAGCAAATAATCATGTTTGAGTAAGGCTTTAAAAATGTGCTTGGCCATTCTGCTCTGCTCTCAAACAGCTCCTCTCGTATATTTTATCCCACCTAAATTGTGGGATTACATTGCTTCCAGTTTATTTCTTTCATGTTTGCCTTCCTGGTTTCAGAGGAAATAATAAAGGCTTGTTTCATTAGTTGGCAGAAGACTCATTCTGATATATCCTGGATAAAAGCTTCTGTTCATGTGTTGCAGAATCTTATGGGAAAAGCTTTTAAGAGACAATGAGCCTACTTTTAGATTTAGACCTTCTCACTATTTTGTCACTTGAAAAATTTACAGTCTTTAAGAAAGACTATTCCACATGGATTTAATAGAGACTAAGTATTTTTCTCTCAGTAAGAAGAACTGGACTTACTGGCAAGTTGGAAGACAGCAGCTATGGCCTCCTCCCACCACTGGGTATCCTGAGAAATGATGGGTAACTCCATCAGGCCTAGGACGAAGATGAGCTGGCCAGCAGTCAGAGCAACGGTGGCGATGAGGTTGCAAGCACGCATCATGTCAAACTGCACTAGGGAAACAGCAGAAGGAAGCACAAAGTTAAATGGCATAGAACAAGCAACAAGAAAATCCTGGCTGAACAGGGATGTAGTATTTGTCACTCCACAGAAAATGATTCTCAGACACAGATCCTCCTCCCAGCAGTCTCTTGCTCTAATGATGTTCCCTGTGCTCTGATGAAGAAAATATTTTCTTCAGGCTGTGTTCTGAAGCTTAAAGAGGGGAGATTCAGGTTAGCCATTAGGAAAAAGTTCTTTCCTGTGAGGGTGGTGAGATGCTGGAACAGGTTGCCCAGAGAAGCTGTGGCTGCCCCATGCCTGGAGGTCTTCAAGACCAGGTTGGATGGGGCTTGGAGTAACCTGGTCCAGTGGGAGGTGCCCCTGCTCATGCAGTGGGGTGGAGCTAGATGATCCTTAAGGTCCCTTCCAACCCAAACCAGTCTGGGATTCTGTGATTCTATGAGTCTTTAGTCACACCCAAACCCCTCAGTGCAAAGCAAGCTTCTGTGAAACAAGCAGCTCATTTCCACGGGTGGCCTGCTGGAGCTACTTGACTTTAGCCCTGTGAAGATTCTACCTATAATCAGTAGCCAGAATTGTCTGGGGCAGGAATGGTGTTTGTTTTGCATTTGTGGCACTGACTGAAATGGAACCTTAGTTCATAAATAGCTTGTCAAGGCCCTGAAATAATAATCATCCCCAGGACATATAACACCCTGAATTTCTTTTTCACCCAGTCCATCTGTATTGTCCTAGAAAACATCTTGTAGAGGTTAATGCTGACATCTTACTGGTTTCAGGGAGCTTTGTGTAGAGGATTCTGAACTTTGCCTTCTTGTAACATTGTTAACCTTTTGGACACACTGGAAAGGCCCTGGTATTTCTTTTTATCTGTGTAAGGAGGGAAATAGTTGCAAGGAAGATGTCAATGCTTGTTCTGAATGAAGTGTAATGGCATAATTTACACATACAAGCAAAAAGTTACATACATATATATATATATATAAAATATTGGTTTATATATTGATTAGTGGATGTTGTTGTGGGAGTCTGCTATGAGCCACCCAGCCAGGACACTGGTGAATTGTTCTGCAAGGAATTGAGGGATATCCCTACACCAGCTGCCCTTGTGGGTGATTTGCCTTCCAAGACATCAACTGGGCATATCATACAGTGGACACAAACAGGTCCAGGAAGTATCTGAAGTATGAAGACACCTTCTTGGTGCAAGTACTGAAGGAGCTGACTACGAAATATGCCATCCTGGGCTTGTGATTTGTAAAAAGAGAGAGACTTGTGGCCAAAGTGGTGATTGGTGGCTGTCTTGTTCACAGTGACCGTGAAGAGTTGAGATTCCAATCACTGGAGACAGGAGGAAAGCTGCCAGCGAAGCTTCAACCCAGTGTGAGGAGAGCAAACTTTGGGCTGCTGAAGGAGTTTGTTAATAGGGTCCCCTGGGAATCTGCTTTTGACAGTATTGGGGTCCAAGAACACTGGTCACATCTCTCAAGAGTGCAGGAGCAGGCAATTCCAAAGTGCTGGAAGTCATGCAGGTGGGGCAGAAGGCAGGCTTGGTTGAACAGGGATCTTCTTCTAGAACTTCTGCAGAAAAGGGAAGTGTCCAAACCTTGGAAGCAAGGACAGGCACCCCAGTGTGGCCTGACAGCCAGAAGAGCCAGCTGTGTCCTGGGGTGGATCAAGCACCCCATCTCCTGTGGCTGAGGGAGGCGACAGTCCCACTCTGCTGCCCTGGTGCAGCCCAAGCTCGAGTGCTGGGCACGGTTTGGGGCACCTCAATACAAGAAGGACATGACATAATGCCAGTGGGCCCAAGGAGTGTGACCAAGGTGATGAAAGGGCAAGACTTATGAAGAGCAGCTGAGGTGCTTGTTCAGCTTGGAGAAGAGAAGGTTGAGGGGAGACCTCATTGCAGTCTACACCTTCCTCAAAGGGGGCCATGGAGGGGGAGGTCGTGGTCTCCTCTCCCTGGTGACCAGGGATAGGACACAAGGAAATGGAATGAAGCTGTATCAAGGGAGGTTCAGATTGGACATGAGGAAAAGGTTCTTCACTAAGAGGGTTGTTGGTCACTGGAACAGGCTCCCCAGGGAAATGGTCACGGCATCAAGCCTGTCAGAGTTCAAGGAGTGTTTGAAGGATGGTCTTAGTCATATGGCTTATTTTTAGGTAGTCCTTTGAGGAGTAGGGAGTTGGACTTGATCATTATGGGGCCCCTCCCACTCAAGATATTCTGTCATTCTCTATTAAATATAAAAAACAAATGCAGAAATTATTCCTGACCACAGGTATCTGGGGTCTTGGCTCTACCTGATTGAAGTGTGTCAGCTGGGTACTGAATGGAATATATTCATTGCAGAGTTGGGTACTTTTAGTTAGGCTTTTTTCCTGTTAACCTGATGGATGTCCTGTTTTTATCCTTTTCCTTCCTCTCTAGCCAAAGGTGGGGTTTGTAAATATCATTGTGCCAGTTCAACATCTTTTGCTAGTATGTCACAGCTATTCTGAAATAGAAATAGCTCAGTGTTTAAGTTGGCATATATTAGAAAAAGAAAGACTCTGGATATGAATATTCACTGAATTACAGGAGAATTTGTAATAATTTAGTCTGTAAGCACTGCTTCTACGATTGCTTGCTGGCCTTGGCCTGATGACAGGTAGAATGAGGAAGCAGTGGGTATGATTACATTAAATGTTAAGGCAGTTATTTTTATGGAATAAGGTATAAGACTTGAGTGCCCTTCCATATGTCATATTAGGATAATGTTGTTTTATTGTAACAGGTTTAATGTATGAACTGTTATATTTTGTTTTTTGTTCTACAATTGTAATGATGCCTCGTTCGCAGAGGGAAAAAAATCAAATTTAATAATGTATAACTCTTAGAAACTCCATTCTTCTTGCTGTGGAGTTGAATCATATTCAGCCACAAAGTGGCACCCTGTAGATGACTGGTTTCCTGCTCAGGGCCCTTGTAACTTCACACTGTCAGCTCAGCATGTGGTAATTCTGTTTTGTCCAGAGAAGAGCTCCCTAGCTGGTGAGGGGTCTAAGAGAACAAGTCTGATGAGAGGCTGAGGGAACTGGGATAGCTTAGTCTGGAGGAAAGGAGGCTAAGGGCAGACCTTAGCCCTCTACAGCTACCCTGAAAGGAGGTTGTAGTGAGGTGGGTGTTGACCTCTTCTCCCAAGTGAATTGATAGGACTAGAGGAAACGGCCTGAAGTTGCACCCAAGCAGGTTCAGATTGGATATTAGGAAGAATTTATTTACTGAAGGAGTGGTCAGGCACTGGAATGGGCTGCCTAGGGAGGTGGTGGAGTCACCATCCCTGGAGAGATTAAAAAAAACATGTAGATGTGGCACTTCAGGACATACTCTAGTGAGCATGGTGGGTTTTTCTGGGTTGGTGGTTGGACTCGGTGATCATAGAGGTCTTTTCCAACCATGATGATTCTGTGTGATACACAACCCTAAGCTGAGCTTCTGCAACATGAAACCTACCACCCCAAAAAGGGGCTACCTATGGAAAGCAGCTCTGGACTTTTACTGGGGACAGCCAATGGACAACACTGAGGAAGAAAGGGAACTGAGTGTGCAATTTCAAAGCATTTCTGCAGTGCCTGACCCAAAGACACTGAAGATGGAAATTGTGTTGAGGAAGGCCAGGCCACAAAGCTCCTGTCTCGCTTGAATGACTGCTCAATCCAGGAATAAGTATTTCTCATCTCTTCTAAAATTGGCTGCAATATAGTTTTTATGAGAGCTGTGAAATTTAGTGTTTATCTTTGTGCTCTTTTACTCTGCAGGTTGTTATTTTAAATTCTATATAAACCAGAAATGCCTCCATAGCCAGCCTCAGTCCGTTCGGATGTGTTTTCTATAGACTTTGTAATTGGTATGAATTAAAGATCATCTGTTAACCATTTCAGACATTTCTGCTTCATTTACCATAGCCATGATCCCCTTGTAACCTTCCCTGGCCATTGCAGACTTAATAAACTTCTGCAGAATATTTTATACTGCCATAATTTGTGAAACAAGAGGTTCATGGCAAAAAATTTCTGGTGGCATTTGAGTTAGACAATAGAGTCTTAATAGTTAAGACTGTCATGACACATTTTGTTTTTTTGATGTCTCACCTTTTTTTGTTTTGAACTCAGGTTAATGTCACCTGTCTCCTGAACTTCACCTATGAAACGAGTTTCATAGAATCATAGGGTTTGGAAGGGACCTCTGAAGATCATCAAGTCCAACCCCCCTGCTGCAGCAGGAACACCTAGGGCAGGTCACACAGGAAGACTTCCAGATAGGTCTTGAAGGTCTCCAGAGAAGGAGACTCCACAAGCTCTCTGGGCAGCCTGTCCCAGGGCTCTGTCACCCTCATAGCAAAGAAATTTCTCCTCATGTTGAGGTAGAACTTCCTGCATTGTCACTTGGTGCCATCTCCCCTTGTCCTATCACAGGCATCACTGAGAAGAAACTGACCCCACCCTGCAGATATTCATACATTAATCAGGTCCCCTCTCAGTCTTCTCCAGTCTAAAAAGCCCCAAGTCTCTCAGCCTTTCCTCATCAGACAGATGTTTCAGTCCCTTCATCATCCTCGTAGCCTCCCTTGGACTCTTTCCAGTATAGCTCTGTCCCTGTTGAACTGGGGAGCCCAGAACTGGACACAACACTCCAGATGAGGTCTCACCAGGGCAGAGTAGAGGGGGAGGAGAACCTCCCTTGACCTGCTTGGCCACACTGTTCCTCATACATCCCAGGATACTATTGTCTCTCTTGGCCACAAGGGTACATTGCTGTCCCAAGGATCACTTGTTGTCCACATTCAGAGGTATATCTGCCTATCTTAATAACGCTTAATGTTCATATGTTGCTTTATTCTGCAAAGGAGGATAAATTATTGTATTTCCAAAATAGAGATTTCTATATCATTATGGTTGGAACTGGTAACGCTTCTTATGCTGAAATGGCTTCACTTATTTTTGT